AAAAAAAAATGGTTCTCTATCATATTTTGAATTTTTTCTCCTGATAATTAAAGTTTTATAAGAAATTTGCCCAAAGAACTTTTCTTGAAACTAAGCTGTATCTAATCAGGATTTCTTGATATGGCAGATTTAAAAGACAATCTGATTGTCTTTTAAAACAACTTGTACAGGTTACTACTTATCCTATATAGTAACTCAACTCCTGCTGTGATTCATGTATTACAACCCTTAAGGAGTTATATTAGGCTTGGAAAATATAAAGTCCTTAGAACATCTTTTTTTAATTAGAAAAAAAGGATTCTCAAAGAAATATATTCAAGTGGGAGAAATACTTTTTTGAAATTTATTAATTTGGAATATATAAAGTTTGTTCATCTTTGGTACTAGAGAACTAATTTACCAGCAAATGGAGTTTGTGATACTATTATAAAATATAGTACTGTCTGCAAATAAAACTCTTTGTTTTTGTGTCTTACGTTAATAAATTGTCCCTGAGTCAGTTGTTAATGACAAATACCAAATGGAAATGTCTTCATTTCTTAGCATGGTTACAGCTTTCTTAGTTTGGCCTTCACATTCATTAGGAGCAGCTTCAGAAACTACAAAAATGGTAGTGTTGGCATGTGCCTTAATTTGATAAGTGCTTTTAAAAGTAAATTGGAGAAATTAGTTATCTAGAACAATAGCTTCCTAAACCCATCAGAAATAATTTTTCAATACTTTCCTGAAGTATTTTTATTTTTTAATTTACAAATTATAAATTTAGGCCAGACACAGTGGCTCATGCTTATAATCCTAGTCCTCTGGGAGGCCAAGGCAGGTGGATTGCCTGAGCTCAGGAATTCAAGAACAGCCTGAGCAAGAGTGAGACCCTGTCTCTAAAAATACCTGGGTGTTGTGACAAGCACCTGTAGTCCTAGCTACTTGGGAGGCTGAGGCAAGAGGATTGCTTGAGCCCCAGAGTTTGAGATTGCTATGAGCTATGACTCCCTGGCACTCTACTGAGGGCAACAAAGTGAGACTGTGTCAAAAACAATACATAATTATAAATTGTATTGATGCCCTATCATCATTATCTATATCAAGGTATAATATATGCACTTAAAGCAAATATAAATAAACATAAATAAGTAAATATATGTACACACACACAGTAGAATCTTCATAGTTGACCACCTCCCTACATTGACCATCTCCTTAAATTGACCTAAATTTTCATAGACTAGACATGTATACCTGAATGTTATCAGTACAGTAGGCCTAGTTTTTTATGTTGGCTACCTCTGTATGTTAGCTAGTTTGTTGCAGTGCCTTGAGTGGTTAACTTCCGGAAGTTGTACTTTATATATAAATGAATGAATATGTATGTATAAGTTGTGCCCAGTTATGGTGGTACTGTGTTTGACTCACTTTTTTCATGTATGGTTAGTTCAATATTGTTTTTACCTTGTAAAATGACTAATGAAGGGCTTATGCAAAGAATTAGAGAAGGAGCAATTGACAGTTTATTTAAAACTAGGAATAGTCTTTTTTTCTTTTTTTTTTGACACAGAGTTTCACTTTGTCACCCTGGATAGAGTGCTGTGGTGTCATAGTTCACAGCAACCTCAAACTCCTGAGCTCAAGTGATTCTCTTGCCTTAGCCTCCCAAGTAGGTGGGACTACAGGTGCCCACCACAACGCCTGGCTATTTTTTAGAGAGGAAG